CGGCTCTACCTGAGCACAATCCCGGAACCTTCGTGACGTTTGACGCCAACCTCCAACGGTGGCGCTGGTCGAGTGGTGCGCGATGGATGCTCAAGGTGCACCTAGCCTGGTACACGCGCCTTGGTGACGTCACCGCCACATCATATTTTTTTCTATCGCGGTTCAGCGGCTGCTGTAACATCCATGCCATGGCGGTGGTGAGAACGTGGAGTGAAATGAGATTGGGGGAGGCAGGGACATGCCTTGGGCTCGTAAAAGCCAGCACCTGAGTTCGCATCCACGCTTCAGCGGCCCGTGATTAAACCGCATCGGCAGTGTCCGCGAGTCGCTCGTATCAGACCCGCTCGGCCGTGAGCGCGCAAGATAAACGCGTCCCGCATTACATCCGCGTCGTCACTTATTTTGGCTTATTCCAGCTCGGAGATCGAAACACGCGCGCGCGCTCTCACGCGCGTTCGCCCATTGCGCCTCTGCAGAGCGAGGCAGCAGTCCGCCCTCGTTGTTGGCTCAAGAGGCCAAGCGAGGTAGCTTCGTGAAGAGCAATAGACGTAGATTTGAAGCTTTCGTGACTGCAAGGATTCATATTCTTAGGTTTTTTCGGTAAAGTCACGTAGGTAAAAAATTAACATTAATAAAAGTTAAATAACTTTTAGAAATTTAATTTTTTTTTCATATTCTTAGGTTTTTTCGGTAAAGTCACGTAGGTAAAAAAATAAAATTAATAAAAGTTATTTTACTTGTATTAATTTTAATTAATAAAAGTTATTTTACTTTCATTAATTTAAATTTTTTACCTACGTGACTTTACCGAAAAAACCTAAGAATATAGCAATAGACGTGATGACGCAACTGATAAGGATGCCCTCGCTCCCAAGATCAAAGACCCCTCGTCTCCTGTGCAGTGCCGGATGAAGCTAGTGCGGGGCCTGCAGCATATGTTATAAAGGGGCCTTAAATAAATAAATAAACACGTAAATATTAAAACACTAATTTTTTACTTGCATGGTAAAGTAATTGTATTTTTCGCTTGCTATACAGCCTGATAATACGACAAATCGCTAACCTTAAACACCCAGTCGTTCGTAAAAGTTGAAGGCGGTATAGTACTATAGTAATAGAGCAAGTGCAGAATCACTGAACCGGAATTGATAGCTTGAAAGCATTTAGCGCGGGGCCCTTGAAAGTGCGGGGCCCGTAGCTAAGATTAGGCTGATAAAGTGTAAGCAGGTGACCGGTTACAACGTGTCAGTGATTGTTCAAGACACTACAAAAGTAGTAGTAGAAAATAGTTTCAAATATCGGTGATATGTGGCAGGGACTCCTTGTTTATGATGTGGCTACACGCGAGCAAGGCACATGTAATTCGTTTAATACTCGGCCTCACCCCTGACACCTTCGGAAATAACATCGATTGTGTAGTGCAGTAGTGCCGGCTGGTGACCAGCAGCGGCAACTGCGGTGTACAAACAGCACACACGCCGGCGAGCATAGACACGGCTGCGTCGGCAGGGCGGAGGAACTGGGGCAAGGGTCACGGAGGGCCCCATCTGGAAGCCCTTAGAACCTCATCTTCTTGGTTCTTTTGGTAAAGTCACGTAGAATGGAAGTAATAAAATAATAAAAATAAAACTATTAAATAATTCTCACGACGTTTCGGCCACAACGCAAGCAGCCGTCCTCAGGTGGAGAGCAGGTCTGTCGAGAAGACAGAGTCTGAATGACACACCCCAGGCTTGGAGCGTCTATTTAAGCTGGGATGGAGGGGAGAAGGGCGCCTTGACAAAATAATTTGCATATCAAGAGAAATTTAGCATATTTATGGGAAATGCAGATATGCGATTAATACTACTTGTGAAATGCGTAGGAGGTTTGGCGGGACCAGGGCGGAGCCGGGCCGCGCTGGGAGCATAAAAGGGGACGAGAACGGGAGCTCAGGGCTGCCGGTTCTGGGATTGGATCTTCTCGTCGTTGCTGTCGTCTCGTCGTCATCGTCGCTGCCGACTTCGCTCGGCACTGCGCTGCGGGATCACCTGTTGGCTGTCTCCGTCAGCGCCGTCGGTGTTAGACGGCTCGTGTTGTGTTGTAGCCTAGCGACTACAGAGTGTGTGCCTCTACAAACCTCGTCTCCGAAGTCACTGACACTACAATTGCATTGGGCTTCATGCACAGCTGTGTTTTATCATCATCAGCCATGGTTAATCCACTGCTGGATGAAGGTTTCACCAATCCGACGTCCTGCGATGTATCGATCCACGCAGGCATGCAAGCTGATCTCATCGCTCCGTCTCTTCTGCAGATGCCATCTCGGACGTGTTCCATTCCTTAGCTGTATGTATGGTTGGACGTCTTTCGCACCGTACGTAGCCAACCGTGTGAATTGGAGGTGCGGGGGAAGGACAGCAAACTAAACATAATAAGCAGTTCGAAGGAAATTAGTTTTTACTCGAGATGTAAAAGTGCACAGGAAGAGCGTTCCAGACGGCCGCAAAAGTGCATCTGAAAGTGCGCGATGCGGTGACCGCCTTTGTTCGATGTTCAGCCGAGAGCCGCTGCGCGAGGATGACCGGAGCTCACGTGACGGTTCATGCTCCTTAGCTGCCACTCCGACATTAGTCGTGACCTCCGGCCATCCTTGCTAGTGGGGTGTGTTGGCCAAGGCCACTTATTGTTTCCTAACAGATGGGCTATGTTCGCTCCTCCGAGCGTTCCCCATCTGCCTATGGATGTCATTTTAATCACAAGCATGTATGTATGTATTCCGGTAAGTAGCGCGGATCTTCCATTTGGGAACACTTTTCGCACGACGTGGAACGCGCCCGGTGTCACGCGAAACGCACCCCTTATAAAGCACAACGCACCCGTTATAACACGCCTGTTATAACACGCCTGTTATAACACGCCTGTTATAACACGCCTGTTATAACACGCCTGTTATAACACGCCTGTTATAACACGCCCGTTACAACGCGTGCCGCTATAACGCAGTTTCTGAGCGGTCGACGGCCGAAACTACTTTCTTGCGTTGCACGGCTGAGCCGTACGACACAATACTCGGAATGATACAGTAACGAGGCGGCGTACCCTACGGTATCCGTCCCTGCATCTCACTGTGTGTGAGTAGTAGTACACTGTATCTCCACAAACGTTTCTCGTTACATTATTTTTGGGGGAAATCGTTTTCGCTGAACGCGGAACTTCTCAAGAACGCATCTACCTCGTTAAACGAGGACTCGCTGTGCACGCCCTCTGCGTGACGTCACGCACAAAACGAACACGCCCTTTCGTGACGTCACGCCGGAAGTGGGTCAAGGTCGGCCCTGCCCCCCCTTGCGACCGACTCCGTGTTACCGCCACCACAACTCGTTACCATCATCACCTCGTTACCATCACCTCGTTACCACCACAACTCATTACTCACCATCACCTCGTTACCACCACCACAACTCATTACCACCACCTCGTTACCATCACCTTCACCTCGTTACCACCGCCATCACCTCGTTACCATCACCTCGTTACCATCGCCTCGTTACCACCACTCATTAAACATCCGTAATTAAAGTATATCTGTTGAGAAACCTCGCTGCTGCGGTACGCGGAGTGCGCGTACACGTGTGTGTGAGTACAGTACGCGCGTGTGAGTACAGTACGCGCGTGTGAGTACAGTACGCGCGTGTGAGTACAGTACGCGCGTGTGAGTACAGTACGCGCGTGTGAGTACAGTACGCGCGTGTGAGTACAGTACGCGCGTGTGAGTACAGTACGTGCGTGTGAGTACAGTACGCGCGTGTGAGTACAGTACGCGCGTGTGAGTACAGTACGCGCGTGTGAGTACAGTACGCGCGTGTGAGTACAGTACACATGTGTGAGTACAGTACACATGTGTGAGTACAGTACACGCGTGTGGGTACAGTACGCGTGTGTGTTCACGTGTGGGGAGCGGTGGCGCTGTGGTTAGCGCATCGCGCCGCGAACCCGGCGGAGACTCGGCACTGCGCCTGGCAGCGGCTGTGTACACGTCACCGGTGGGGAGACAAAGGCGGCCGGGCGTGGTTTTGGCCACCCACCCCCTCGTGTGCCGTGCGGACCTTCATCGATGCTGCTCGCTAACAGCCACTTGCCCCTCCAGTCTGTTACAGGCTACACGGGGATCTTTGTTTTTTTTCGAGACGGAATTAATCGGAGTATAACTGAGTTTCTAGCGTGGCCAGTTCATGGACCACGAATTTAGACTTTTCATAATACATTCAACTTGTGACGCTTTGCCACACAGTATTAACTCTCTTTCGTAGAGAGAGAACCACTGAGGAGGAACCACGTAACTTTATTTTACTATGTTTCTTTTCCAGGTAAGCCCCACTGAGCTATACAGCTCGTTTTTAGAAGCGACCTGGCCACACGTGATAGTTCAATGAAGTGGCTGATGTGGAAATGTATCGCAGCCAAAACACATTGTCCTGCGGAGGGAGCTGGTAGGAACGTTGGGTTGCTCGGTCAATGGCCTGCAGGGTCAACGGCGGCGTGGTGTATTCCGCAAATATGCCCGACTGTGAGAGCGGGCACAAGCCGGCGTGAGTAGGTTAAACGTTGAGTTTTATAAGGGCACCACGGGGTGACCAGCCCCTCACCACCCAGCCCCACCCCACCCCTCCCAGCCCCTCCCCTCCCTCCCCACCCAGCCCCTCCCCACCCTCCCCACCCAGCCCCTCCCCACCCCACCTCACCCAGCCCCTCCCCACCCTCCCCACCCAGCCCCTCCCCACCCCACCCAGCCCCTTCCTGCACGACGGACACAATAATCCCCTGTGGGCTGGTGGAACCAGTGGGTTCCTACCAGTATAATCTAAGCACATGTTGATGAAATGTGGAGGGAGAAACTCGAGGACCCGGAGAAAAATCTACGTGACTCCAAATATACAGCAGCAGGTGTCAGGGTCGGGATCGAACCCACGACCTCCTGTAGACCAAGCGAGGTAGTTAACATCTCGCCACCACATGAATGGACGGCAGCAATCACACGGCGCTACCAACAATCTCCCAAAGCTCTGCGGTTCTCTATATATGAAGGTGGCTTCTGCCAATTAATGAGCGTTCACACGTGGGAGGAAACCAGAGCACCTGGAAAAATCCCACGTGTGCAAGGGGGCAACACTCTATCCCATGTAGATCGGACAGGGGAGTCCACATTTGGCTCCTCAACGCTCAGCTCTGAGTGTAAACAAGTACAAGAAGTCTGAGGGAGCAGTGGGGGAGAGGGTTTCCAGCAAGGTGCAGGCGTTGATGGCACCGCCACCGTCTTCCGTGTGTGGAGGGAGCAGGTGCGGACATGATGCCCGGAGCCCTGAGGCGCTGGGCCAGGCTGGGTGGCACCGCGCTCTCCCTGGCATTGGGCACTGGCCTCGGCACGTGGCTGGAGCGGCGGAGGCGGCGTACAGGGCACGGGAGCGCAGACGCGGACGCAGGGGCCCCGGGCACCACCGCCTCCCTCTGGGTAGGGGCCCTCGTCATGCACGTACACACACAGGGCAGCAGTGAGGCATTGTGGGTAGGGGCCCCGTCACACACACAGGGTGACAGTGAGGCATTGTGGGTAGGGGCCTCGTCACACACACAGGGCGGCAGTGGGACCTTGTAGGTAGGGGCCTCGTCACACACAGGGTGACAGTGAGGCATTGTGGGTAGGGGCCTCGTCACACACACAGGGTGACAGTGAGGCATTGTGGGTAGGGGCCTCGTCACACACACAGGGCGGCAGTGAGGCATTGTGGGTAGGGGCCTCGTCACACACACAGGGTGACAGTGAGGCATTGTGGGTAGGGGCCTCGTCACACACACAGGGCGGCAGTGAGGCATTGTGGGTAGGGGCCTCGTCACACACACAGGGTGACAGTGAGGCATTGTGGGTAGGGGCCTCGTCACACACACAGGGTGACAGTGAGGCATTGTGGGTAGGGGCCTCGTCACACACACAGGGCGGCAGTGAGGCATTGTGGGTAGGGGCCTCGTCACACACACAGGGCGGCAGTGAGGCATTGTGGGTAGGGGCCTCGTCACACACACAGGGCGGCAGTGAGGCATTGTGGGTAGGGGCCTCGTCACACACACAGGGTGACAGTGAGGGCATTGTGGGTAGGGGCCTCGTCACACACACAGGGTGACAGTGAGGCATTGTGGGTAGGGTCCCCGTCACACAGGGCGGCAGTGAGGCATTGTGGGTAGGGGCCCCGTCACACACACAGGGTGACAGTGAGGGCATTGTGGGTAGGGGCCTCGTCACACACACAGGGCGGCAGTGAGGCATTGTGGGTAGGGGCCTTGTCACACACACAGGGCGGCAGTGGGGCCTTGTGGGTAGGGGCCTCGTCACCCACAGGGCGGCAGTGGAACAATACAAAACGAGATGGTGGAAGAGCAACGAGTCAATTCATTGACTCGTGGTGGTTAGTGGGGGGGGGGGCTGAATCATTACATTGATTAATAGATACGAGGGCAGCACAATACAAATTCAAGTTTCAAGTTGATTTTGTGTAACCAGGCGATGCCTCGAGAGACCAGGATAGAGCGAAAACAAAGTTTGGCGACGAGTCAAGTTTTCACGTGTGACCAGGCATGCCAATTTGTCGCTGTCGTCAGCGACGCGACTGGCGCGGCCTTGCGGAGTGATCCCCGCGCACGTTGAACAATTGGGTGTGGACGCTTTTCGCCGACAGCTGCAGGCAGCATTATCAGGCAGCAGGCAGAATTGTGGCACGTTTTTATATCACGTGACGGCTTTGTGCTGAATCAGAAAATGTATTGAGACTGCAGGAGGAATCCGATGAGCTGTGAAGCTCTTTTGCACAGATGCCGGGTGGAGGAGGGTGTACGACACACACTTTACTTTCGCGAAACTCACCCAAATATTGCTCACGAAAGCGAGCGTGTTTAAAGTCCAGCAACGAAGCAGACAGAAATCAGAACATAAATCGAAGATATTGCACCAACGAAATTGAAATATTTACTACATTTTCTGTTGGCACAAGTCGGCTTGGAAAAATTATTCTTAGCACGATCACAACATGAAGTTACAGAAACGTGAAATATACAGAGGCAGGCTATTGTACTGATCTGTAAATAGACGAGATGATATGTCAAGTACCATGTAGAGCAACATAGAGAATTTGTGAAAACAAAGATCCCCGTGTAGCCTTGGACTGGCTTTTGGGGCAAGTGCTGTTAGCGGGCACCTATATAGGCTGGCACAGCACACGAGGGGGTGGGTGGCCAGCACCACGCCCGGCCGCCTTTGTCTTCCCAGTGCTGATGTTTACACACTGCACAAGATACTCATGTAATAGGGGAGGCCCAGGACCGGTTCAGATATTCGACACTGAGCCGGTCGCGGATGGAAATCGAACTCGGGTCGCTGGGGGGTGAGTGATGCTAACCTCTGCGCCACCGCTCACGTGTGTTTCTCCATGGCCGTGCGACCCCTAGGATGACCTCTGGCAGTGCCCGGTGCTGCCCGTGCCCAGCGTTCACGCGGCAACCATTGGCGTTGGTGGTGGGCAGCTGACGAGCCGGTGAGGCGACGAACGATGTTATTATCCATCGTGATGATGATCGCGCTTGGTCACCCAGAGAAGCCTCGTCAAGTCTCAAGACACTTTTTCGGGAGGCTTCTGCCAAATTTTAGCAGTAAGGGGGCGACGTGTTGAACTTTCTTCCCACCATACGTAGCCAACCGTGCCTAATCGGAGTTACCACTGTATTATCCCAATTGAGAAATTCGCAGTGCGGTTTCTGCAGAGTTGGGATGTTGTTTGGCCAATGCCGGCCACATTGTGTGCTGTTGTTTTTAGCTACGAAAGGAAACCCGGAGAACCCGGAGGAATCCCGTGCAGAACAACAGGGGGAGAAGCTACAGACGCCACACAGAGAGGCACCCGAGTCAGGAATCAAACCCAGGCGGGCTGCTTGTGCTGCGAGGCGCGCGAGCGTCGCCGCTGCGGCGAGCGGGCAGCGTGGGCAGCGTGGGGTCGTCGTGTGGAGCCCTGTTGTATATGTTGGGTATGAAAATTTGTTATGTTGTATGCGTGCGTGGGTGAAATTATTATGTTGTATATGTGGGTTATGAATATTCAGTGGAAATAATAATAATTAAATGAAATTTGGCCAAATGTGTAATTATCCGGAAATATGTTAATTTATGTAATTACGCACATTTTAATTATGCCAATTCGAGAGGTAATCGTATTAATTATGCGAGTGGGTGTAATTATGATAACGCAAGTCGTTATGATAACCAGACCCCGGTTCACCCCGTTATCGCTTTAACATTTACTGAGTATGTATTAGTGTGTTTATTAAGGTCACCAAGTTCAAATCTCAACGCAGAAGCAGATCTTATGCATAGATTTCAGGAAAGAATCACACAACCACTTCTGTATTGATCAATTTATTACTAATTCAACCTTAACTATGATATAGTATGCGAACTCTCAATCCCGGAACGTCAATACGGCATCAATACAGTATCATCAACGATTGTCTGATTTCACTTTGACAACGGCACATGGATCCCGCATAACGCGATGGTTGTTAGTGAGAGAGAGAGTCGTTAAAACATGCAAATACTATGCTAAGAAAACCTTAACGTTAATGAATGATTATACTCAATATTGTTCACGCAGTACCGCACTCCTTATTGATCATACGCAACCCTTATCACGTTGTTAACACCTTGGGTCACGGAACAGTTGAATATTCTGTAGAGGATGCGAGTACGTGCGGCGATTATGACTGAAAGATACTTGAAAGATTATACGGCGATAAAAAAAAAACACAATCAGAAACAGTTATTATTCTTAAAGGCACCAATCTCAACAGATACATCGGCAGGTTATCTGACAACAGAACGGCTCGGAGTAAGGGCCTGCGACGGTGCTCCTTTTCCGAAGCTCGTTATCTTATACCAAGTTTACTAATTGGGGACCAGATCACCTGATAAGGGTCCGGTGGGCCACCACTCCCCACGTGAGCGTGGCTCGGCGGAAGGAGGTGCCAAGAATCAGTTCGTATTGATGGATCTGTTGGGAATTTATGCGATTAAGAGTACAGCCCACTAAATATTAAAGATAAAAATTAAGAATACTCTTATAAACGACGGAGGGCCATCACTCGGTCTCGTTGCGATGCTTTCCAGCCACGGATGGCTTATGGGTTCGAGTGTTTTTGAGTGGTAAGAGTTGTCTTGAATAGTCAGTGTTCGGAGTCGATTCTTTAGGTCAAACAGACGCCTGGTGGTCGTGTGGTGAGGGGGCGGTGCGCGTCATACGTATCAGTTGATCCCCTGTCACCGTGGCGAACTGGTTCGGATGCCCGTTGATACGCTGTCGCAGTTCGGAACCCGGTCGGTAGGTGGCGCCCACAACTCGCTCGTAGCGTGCAGCTCTGGGTTGTCCCCGATCCGCGATGCTCACCACTCCGGTGGCAGCAGAGACCCCCGGTTCGGCAGAGGTTGACGAGCTGAAGATGAGTCGAGCCGACCCGCTGGTCGCAGCTCGCTCCTGAGTCGACCCTCCCGGTCGAGCTCGCTCCTGGGTCGACCCGCTGGTCGCCCTCGCTCCTGAGTCGACCCTCTGGTCGCACTCCTGAGTGGACCCACTGGTCGCACTCCTCCTGAGCCGACTCTCCCGGTCGCGCTCCTGAGTGGACCCTCTCGTCGCACTCGTTCCTGAGTCGACCCTCCCGGTCGAGCTTCTGAGTGGACCCTCCCGTCGCACTGGTTCCAATGCTCAGGATCCTTTACTTTATGCCGAAAAATCCCCCTGGATCCCGCCCACAAGGCGGGGCTTCTTTTCGATTTTTGCTATGTCAGGATCTGTCCGTAGGCAGGTGTGTCCATGTGTCTGTCCGTATGTCCGTGTGTCCTTGTGTGCATCACTGACGGTATATTCGTTGTCACACTCCCTCCATAAAACCCACGAGCAAACAATCAGATGTTACAAATTGCCTCGAAGTCGTCTCTCTGTCTGGGTGCAATATTATCTCTTGTCTGGCCTTCTTCATGACCCAAAACACAGACGTTACAAATCGTCTCATAGGCGTCTTTGTTCGTGTTGCAGAACCTGGAGGGAGGGGCAACACTCTCTCCGACCCGGCGCACAAAGAAATGGTTAAAAAGTTTTAAGTTAACATTTGTCCCTTACTATTTCACAGTTATGATTCTGTATGTAACCTAAGGTCTGTCGTTTCCCATCGTGGTGCCCGACCCAAGTGTAGGTGTTTCCACGAGCGTACACACACTCCTATCCCGCGCTGCGGGGATACAAAGACGGCCGGGATCTCCCTTTCTCTCCGACCCTGGGTTTAACATCGTTTTTTTTTTATTATGTATTATATTCGACCTGGTTGTGATTCATCCCGTTATCCTGGCTTTTCCATAAGTTTTACTTTTGTCTTTCATGCATATACTTATTACTATAAATTTATTTCCGATATCTTAGGTTAAGGGGTAAGTTTCTTGATCCTAGGAATTCGTATTCCTTGGTGCCTGGATGGTTATATAAGCGGAATATAGTTTATGGTGAATAGAGTTAACATTGATGTTATGTGCGATACTATGTATTGTGATGTCTTTAACTTAACTTGTTTGTCAGGGCTTTACTGACACGAAGTTGCATTCATAGCCCGCAGTCTTTGCCCCACCCTATCTCTGCTCGCCGTTGTTGTTGCCTGCCGTTAATTCAAGGCCTCATTAATTTCCGTCACTCCTGAGTAGGTGAGGGCGGTTGAACCTTGGAGTCAGTTCTGGTTTTTGTCTGCCTGCTTCTTCTTGTGTCCCCTGACCCCGGGAGTTATTATTCTACTTTATGGCCTGTCGAAGCCCCACTCGCTGTTGCTGGGCTGGTGTTGTTCCCGGCTTTTGCTTACGTTTGCAGTTCGCCGTGCTCTTGATTTCCTTCCCTCTTCAACCTTATATTGACTATTCGCTCCTGTCTGGGTGCGATTCAATTTTGACTTAGGAAGGTTCTGATTGTCATATGCTTCGGGTCGAATTGTATAGAAAGTATTGAAGTATGGAAATAACATTTCATATTGACTTAATAATGGTGATGGTTCAGTAGGCGTAACTTGTGGCCTGGTTTAATTGGAGTGGGTGTGAATATCGATAACTTTAGCCTACCCTGTTGTTAAATTCCGACTTTAACGTTACTTTAATAGCAATACAGAATAATTGAGCTTTTTGTCTTAACTAGGCGAATGCGAACTTCTGGTGACCCCGCAGCCTTGTTGTTCAGCTGGGTCTGCCTCCTTGAGAGATATACACCACTCTTATTCTCGTCTCACTGTGGTCATCCAACCTTCTGCTCTGGGAGTGTTATTCTTACTTTCAGGTCAAAGGCCCCCTCACGTTCAGACGTGCAGGGTTGTTTACATCAGCTCCCCCCCTGTGCACGTGTTCTAACTAGCTCGGAATCCCTGAACACACAATCAGTGATGATTCCTGGCTTTCTGTGGTTGTGATTTAGACAAAGGCGCCTCTGTTTCTTCCATTGCCTTTGAGTCGACACTGCCCTATTATTTGCCCATGTGCTGAGGTCATAGAATTCGTTTTGACTTCAGTAATATTAACATTCAGTATTGGATTAGCAAATGGGCAATGGTTCATTTATGTAGCTCGCAGCCTGGTCTCCAATTTGAGCGAGCGCGAGGATCGGTAATTTAGCCTACTCTGTTGTTGAATTTCGAATCTTGACGTTACTTTAAAACCATGCAGGATGGTTGGGCTTTTTGCCTTAACTATGTCTGGCTGACACTCCCACTGTCTCTGCCGCCTGCACGGGTGACATGTGCCCGTTCATCAGGCCTTATCTTTCCTTGAAGCAAGGTTGCAAATTCTGCCATCCTAGCCCTCCTCCAGTTCATTACTTAACAACACCTGGTGTTTTGCAGTTTGCTGCGCTTGGTGTGTTTCAATCATTAAAAAACAAGTAAAAAGATAATATATAAAAAAAATCATCAAATATTATTAATCTCAATTTTGGAAGAAGGTTAGTATACAACATTCCGCCCTTTTAAAAATGACCAGTGGTCAAATGGCCACGGGTTATTTTTAAAAAAATGTATACCCTTCTTCCATCATGAACCATCGATTGTCCTCAAGTTTTGCTGCTATTCCTGTCTTTGTGATTTTTAGCTGATATACGACTGGGGACATTTTGTCAACAACCTCGTGTGGTCCTGTCCAGGAAGGCAGGAATTTCCTGCACTTCTGTTTCCTTTTCTCGTAATTGAGGTACCACACCTGGTCTCCTAGCTGGTATTCTGCGTGGCTGGCTTTTTGGTCATAGTATGCTTTGCTCCCCTGAGCCTCTACTTGCAACTGGTCCCTGACCATAGCGAATGTGCTCTGTAGGTGACTATTGAGTCCCGTCAGGTATTCAGTTGGCGTCATTGCCGTCGGGGTCTCGTCCTCCGCTGGGACATATAACAGGTGTACTGGGAGGGTCATTAGCCTCCCTGTCATGATCTCGAAGGGTGTCCTGCCTGTAGCTCGGTTGGGTGTGGCTCGCATGGC